AGCAGGGACTCGTACATCATGAGCTCCGCTCTCTTCTTCTGCAGTAGGGCCCAGCCAAGCGTCCCGCAGCAGCCGCGCCTCCTCCGCGCCTCCGCGCACGCTCCGCCCCTCGCCCCGCCCGCGCAGCACGCCGGGAATCTCTCAGGCCCCGCCCTGCGGGGGCGGAGCTATAATGGGGGCGGGTCAGTTGGGCGGGGCTGAAGCTGAGCGGCTCAGGAAGCACGCTCAGCATTGAGGAGCGGGGCGGACGAATTGCGAGTCCCTGCTCACTCAGTGCAGCCTGTGGTGGTAGGAACTTAATTCGTGCACTGAGGCTGTTTCATAAACTCATTTAATTTTATCGAATTCAACTCTTTCCCATGCCTTTTTAATGAGCTAATGTGTTTTAATGAGCATAAATGCATAATATGCAACTGTATTTTGCGTATGTATTAATTACCGCACACATTACAATTTTTCCTTATATATATTAAGCTGTTATATTAATATTACTATGTTACTACGTTTGCACCGTTTAACACATTTTTCAAAGGTAGCTGCGGCTCTGTCCCACGTATTTTACGGTTCTGGTTTTGTTTTGTTTAGCTGTGTGGACAAAACACAAGACTTTGGACTTGCTAGACAAGCACTCTACCAACTGAGCTAAATACCCTTCCCTGTTCCTCTTACTGTTTTAAAACGAGTGGGTTGGGGGTGATGGTGCAAGCCTTTAATCCTCAGCACGCAGAAGGCAGAGGCAGGTGGATATCTGTGTGTTTGAAGCCAGTCTGGTCCACATAATAAGTTCCAGGCCAGCCAGAGCTATACAGTGAATCCCTGTCTGAAAAACAAATAAGTCTCTTAGACCCTCTTTCTCCTCCAGTGTGGCCTCTGTTTATGGTAGTCCTCTGTTCGACCTTACTAAGTAGAACCGGCCAAGGTGTCCTAAGTCTACCCCAAATCCTGACTATAGGCCCCACTACTGTTCATTTAGTATTGTTATATAGAAATAGACAGACTGGTAGGCACCTGCAGAATTAGGCCCTCTTGTGTCCCAGCTCCCAAGTCCACATCCACCTTTTTTTCATTTGCAGCAAAGAAGGAAAAGCAGGGACAACTTGGGGAAGGTGGCAAACTGGAATTCCTCCCTCCCTGCAGACGCAACCACTTCTGAAACACAGTCAGGATCCAAACACTCTTCATGCCCCCTGCCATCAGCAGCATCCCTCAGCCTCAGCGACCTCAGGAGCGGCTGCTCTGGTGCTCTGCTCTGAATATGAACTGACCCCCTGTGTATGTTTCAGTACTTGATCCCCAACTCCAAGACTGTTGAAAATGTAGGATGTAGAACCTAAGTGGAGGAAGTGGATGAATGGGGGTGAGTCTTTGTGGGTATCCCATCTCTGGTCACTTCCCTCACTCTCTACTTCTTGTTTAGCTGCGGAGTAAACAGAGACAGACAGACCATGCCTCTCTGCCATAACTGACTGAACCCTCTGAAACAACATTCCATACAGAAAATGATCTATGATAACTTTAGTTTTTTGAGTGAGTTTATTAAGCATGTATCAAGCAAAAGCACAAGAGCAAATAGCAAGAGGCAGATAGATTACAAAATACCAAATCAGGCCCTTAAAACATCCGGCAGAACAAATTAGAATAACCAGACTGGGAAAGCAAGCAAAAATAAAAGAAGTGGCAAGCAGCAGATACATAATATCCTCCAGAAAGCCTGGGGAAGTCCTGCTGAGTCGATCAGTCAGACTCGAGTTCAGCTGGGATGTGTGCAGTTAGAGCAGAGGGTTCTCGCCATGGACCAGACTCCCACTTCTCACCCCACCGCAGGCATTTTAGATCACAGGAGAAATGATAGAAATAACAGTTAGAAATGGATCACCCTCCATCTGTTCTCAAGGGGGCAATTTAGCTGTGTGGTCTCCTTCCTCCCTGTCCCAGAAGCATGAGGCCAGCTGCCCCAGGAAAGTGTATCCTAAAACAAGGGAGAATGCCGGGCTGTGGTGGCGCACGCCTTTAATCCCGGCACTGGCAGCCCGATCTCTGTGAGTTCGAGGCCAGCCTGGTCTACAAGAGCTAGTTCCAGGCATCAAAAACTACAGAGAAACCCTGTCTTGAAAAATCTTAAAAAAAAAAAAAAGACAAGTGAGATAAACCTGATTGAATCTCATATCTGAATATGAGAGAAGGGAAGTCTGTCTTGCTCTCAGAGTCAGCTCTTGACGAGTGCAAACAGCACATGGCGGCTTATATGGTGGTCCAAAACCACTTATATGGTGGGCCAAAACAAATGTTCTCTCCCTTAGGTTGTTCCTACCATGTCAGTCAGCGACTGTCCACTCTCCACTCCTCTTGGTTGTGGTCAGCCCCAGATCACATAGGACTGACCCAGCCCTAGCTCCAGTCTAAAGGCAATGAATTGGGATTCAAAGTGGTTGGCTCTAAACAGGGAGAGTCACACTATGCAAATACAGCTTCTTTGGATACTTCTAAGCAAGCGTCCCCTCATCCTCTCAATGCTTCCCTGAGGAATCCAACCATTGGTCCAGAAGTAGCAGAAGTAGACGGCAAGTAGCCATGTGTGTTTTAGGCAGCTCTTCTTGGTGGGGAAGACATGACAGTGTTCATAGTGTCGGGAGCTCGGATCGGGGTCATCACATCTCCACGGACAGGAAACACCAAAGGAATTCTGCCTCTCGACTGGCTTCATGTTTTCTCCTTTTCATTCAGTCTAGAACCCCAATCCACAGGATGGTGCCAACCACACTTAGCACAGATCTCACATTAAACCTCTCTGGCAACTTCCTGAAACATCCACTTGGAAATGGGGATCCCTGGAGACTAGAAAGATGCCGCCGAGGTTCAGAGCACTTGCTGCTCTTTCAGAGGACTGGATTTCAGCTTCTAGTATGCACTTCGGATCCTCCAGTTCTAGGGTCACCCTCTTCGGGCCTCCATGGGTGCCTGCACTCACACGCACGTAACCCCCACACAGAACACAGACACATCATACATGCACACATAAAAAAAACTAAAGCAGGGCTGAAGAGAAGGCTCAGTGGCTAAGAGTGAGCAATACTGCAGTGGTAATTATTTGCATTTTGATAAATAAATCTTGCCTGAAGACCAGAGGCAAAGCTAAGGCCACTGGATGTCAGGCAATGGCGACACACACCTTTAATCCCGGTCCTAGGGAGTCACATGCCTTTAATCCTAGCACTAGAGGGAATGAATATAAAATTGGAGGAAAGAGAGACTTAATCTGCTTAATCTACTGTCACCTAGCCTTGTTAGAGGTAAGACTTCTCTAGTGGTTTGGTCACATTGCTTTTCTGGTTTTCAGGTTGAACTCCAATATATGCCTCTGGGTTTTTATTATTTGTGCTACATAATACTCTTCCAGAGGACCCAAATTCAGTCCCTAGCACCCAAAAAATATTTCTAAAAAAATGAGGATCCCAAAGGTAGTCTAGTTGACACAGCACATCTTTGATCCTTGTTCCCAGGTAGAGGAAGGATCAGTTTACTCTCTCTTCTAACAGGCAGTGCTTCCTCTTGCCCCTTGGACAGCGGAGATCCTGACTCACGCTGAATTGCCTTCCTGGTTCTCAGGCCTGAAGTGGCCCATTTGGAGACTGTTCAGCCTCCATTCATAATTTTATAAGTTACTTTGCAGCCTTAGGAAGAAAGGGCTGATTTGGCCTCCTGGTTTCAAGGGTCTTTCAGTCCATCATTATGAGAACTACACAGAGGCAAGCCACGGTGGTGGAAGCAAGTGGCTACTCCATCCTGGTAGAGAAGGAACCTGAAGCTTCGGCCAGAGCTTGGAATGGGTATCATCTTCAAACACCAACTCCTAGTGACATGCTTCTACCAGCTAGGCTCCACTTCCTAAAAACTCCAGGCCCTTCAAAATACAACTACCAACTAGGGACCACGCTATGAGACCATGAGCCTGTGGGAGACATTTCTAAAGACAAACCTTAACTGCCTGAGCCAGTTCCCATTGTATATCCCGATCCTGTATCCATTTCCATGTCTCTAGGTAAGACCCATCGGTCCCACTGTCTTCCTGGAGAATCTTCTACAATGGCTAAAGTTAAAACCCTCACAGCTCATATAGTACTAACAGGGCTGAGTGCCCGCTCACCAAGGCACAAGCTGGAGCCCTCTCCGGATCATGACTTCCTGGGAAGAAAGTTACGTGAGCTTGAAAGAAGAGTTCCGAGGAGCTGGCAAACAGGGTCATGGTGGGGGAAAAGAATGTGGAAAGCGCTGCCATCTGTGACATACAAGAGGAGCCTTGAGTTCCAGAAATATGAAAATTCCAACGTTTGGGCATTAGTGGGCACATGCGATCAGGCATTGCACACTGTCCCTAGGGTGGGAGACATCTCTAAATCTCATCCCGTCTCCTTCACCCCCAGCTCTGTGAAGTAGGAGAGAGATCGTGTAGTTTGTGGATAAGAGCTGTAGATTGCTCCCTCAACTCCATTTGCTCCACCCTCACCCCTTCTCCCCAGTGCTAGGCAGGGTAATGTTATTGACCCAATAATGTGCATGCTTATGAAAATTCAGACATAATTGATTCCATTTGTGT